CTTGAAGTCCTATCAGGAACTTTTCCCTTGAGTCTACGCAAAATAACCCATAATCACTCGTCTATAAGACGATGGTCTTGTGCCATAAATGCAGGACATCAAAGAAAAATAGGAATTGGCTAGAATTTCTAGAAGGGTGAGTCTAAATTCTAATTTTCTAAGACGGTCAATAGGAACTCCTAGAGCTAGATCCTAGGCTCCTAAGGAGGAGAAGAGAAGACCTCACAAAAATGAGGTCAACACCCGTAGCATTCTTTCAAGCCCATCTACAATTCCAAAATAAAATAGAAGTCATTGGGTCACCCTAGGGGAGGCGTCCTCGCCGTCAGTAAGCTCTTCCTTGTGCATTTAACTTTAGCTAGGATGTTTCTCAATAGGACCCTGATTCAAAAGTTCTTTATCAAAGTGGGCTTTGGAAATCACTAACTTGCCTGTGCCTATTTGTAATCAAGCTTTTTTAAAGCACGAATTAAAGTGTGCTATAGAAGCATTATCGTGTGAAGCGAGGCATGTTTGCATTGCATGCTCCTTGCGCATTGTTGACCTCATTTTTAGTGAGGTCTAGTCTTTCTCTTAGGGTTTAGGATCTAGCCTTAGGACCTCCCTTCGACCATCTTAGAACCTTAGAAATGGGACCCGCCTTGTTTTAGAAATTCAACTCGCTTCCGTCCCCTTCTGGAGTTTCGCGTGTGTGGTATCAACTTCTAGCACTTAGAAGGATAAAACCAACATGAGAAAACCCAAAAGGGATTCCCTATAGGACCTTCCTGAGCCTTAGGGTGGCCTTTTGCACAATTCGCACTCTAGCGCACAAAACTTCGCAATTCGGAGAGTCAGAGCGTCCGATCGCCACGATTCGCTTCGTCTGCACTGTTACTTGTCGAATGCTCGAGTTAACCTTTTGAAGCGATCGATCGCGGGTCGAAATTTTGTAAAATTTGAATTTTGACGCGTTTTTGACCCGATTGTCGACGATGTCGTCCGAGCAACCCCGGATGACAAAACGGACTGTGCCGGCGCTCCCAGAACGTCGATTTTGCCTAGGGAAGACACCCATTTTGTTACGTCGTCGCGCATGAGTAAATCGATCTATCTATATATAATTTAATATATATATATTAATTTATATTAAACTAATATAAGGTGAAATTATCAAATATTAAGCTTAATGATATCATAAATCCCGAGCTCTGCCTCCTTTCCCTCTCCCGTTCGCGTGCCAGGCCCTTTCCCTTTCTCGTTCTCGAGACGACCGAACTCTTCTTCCTCCACACGAGAGAAGGTTGACCTCGTTCGTCCTTGCCTGACATTCTTCTGCTCGCAGCCTTCCTTCCCGAAGCCGTGCCAGTCTCTCTGAGCTGTGGTTTTTCTTTTCTTGGTAGTTTGACTCTGGGAAGCTTGTTCCCTGGTACACTTGAACGGCAATATTTTCTCTTCTTTCCGATGCTTCCCTCGCTGCCATTAGTCTCGCCGCTCGGTTCGAGAGGCTTCAGTGGCTTCGCCTTCTGTGAGCAGGGAGCGTGTCCTTTTCTTCTTTGGCCCGATTCGAGTGCCGTGGACGGTTGGGGGTGGTCTTCTTTCTCTTCTCCTCTATCCTCTGTTTATAAACACAGTTCCTTTTGAAATTTTTAAGGTTGTTGAGAAAATTTTTTCTGAGAGGAGTGGAAATTTTGGCTGTGAGGGAATTGGAAAGGGGAGTTTCTGGGAGAGCATTTCTTTGGGGTGGTTTCTCGTGTTGTTGTGCTTTACGTTTGCTTTGAGGAGGTA